TTTAAATTAGGAAAGAGCAGATTGCTGGTGGCTGAGGAGAATGGGAAAGATTGATGRGCTTTCTGCGATCCCATGGGTGTTCCCTGGCAGGCTCCTGGGAAACTGCTGAGTCCTGCACGGATAAACCTCACCCTCATGATAACATTTCTGTTTTGCCTGAGGAGCCAGGAGTGCCACCATCATTGTCATCCAGGAGCATTAGAAGATCAAACAGATACGCCCTTGAATGCCTTAAAAATAAGGAACAAAACCTCCAACTTCTCTGCACCATCTCCGAGTGGTTTGAGCTTTTGCTTGGACATTTTGACAGGATAAGAGGAAAAAAGCCTCAAGTTCTGCCAGAGGAGYTTCAGGCTGGACATCAAGAGGAATTTCTTGATAGAAAGGGTTGTTAAGCATTGGCAGGGGCTGCCCAGGGAGGTGGTGGAGTTCCCATACCTGGAGGTGTCCAAGAAATTACTGGCTGTGGCACTAAGTGCTCTGGTCTGGTGACGCGGTGTATTTGGTCAGTCAGAGTTTGGATTCGACAATCTTGRAGACCTTTTCCAGCCMTAATGATTYTACARTTCCCTCCCCARTCCCATCCTGGTGGCTGGTCCGTGCCCTCTGTGTCTGTTCCTGACTGCCAGAGCTGCCCCTGTGCTCTCCATTCCGTCCTCACTCCAGTCCTGTAGCTGTGATGCTTTTCCTGGCACCCTTCCCAAGTTCTCTTGCTGCCAAGTCAGACTCAGTACAAGCGTCTTGTATTCCCTTTCAAATCCTTTCCTATCGTGGCAAATAAACCCACTGTCCTCCACACACACACACACACACACTCCTGATATTATCCTTGACAGCTCTTCACTTCTGGCACTCAGCTGCTGCTTAATCATATGGTTTCTTTCTCTGAGTCACCTCATGTGCTCTTGCAGCCAAGAGCTTGACTTTGATTTGGCAATGTCACGGCGGGGGCACATCYCTCGGGATCCCACTGCTGCCCCGCATGTCCACTGGCACCAGCGCGTTCCTCTTCGCTCGGCTCTGAGCCAGCATTGGTGCCTTTGGAGAGCAGAGCCATCCCCTCCCCTCTGCCTCCCCCCACACACCACCAGCACCCTGCTCCGGCCCGCTTTCCCTGATTTTATCATTCCCTGCTGCTTTGCAGAGTTTCTGGTCTTTGCACAGAGCGACCTGCCTGACCTTGACTCCCAGGTAGCCCTGGCGCTCAGATCCCTTCTCCAAACATCCTTCCACAGAGGCCCCTCTACCCCCACGCTCTCGTCCTTGTGACATTTGCAAAGAGGGGGCAAGCGGAGCAAACCAAACAAACCCAGCAAATATCGCTGGAAAAGGGGTACTAACACCATGTGCACGGAGAATCGGGAATAACCTCCTGCCTTCCGAGCACTGTCCTTCCCCTGACCCCTCCTGCCTCACGTCTGCTCCRCACTACGGGCCCGGCACGGGACCCCCCGCTCCTCYCCAAATCCCCCGTGTATCTACGGARCGATAACCGAGCTCTGCTCCTCCCTAGGAAAACAACCGGAGCTTCCCAGAGGATCTGTTTGCAGACAACACTGCAAAACCGCTTCCCCCGCGCCGCTCTTTGTACTGAGCAAATAACAGGGCAGCCTAAAGCGAGAGGGCTGGGATAAAATTTGGATTTCTCATTGTCCAGGGAATGCCGCAGGTGTGGACACACCTATTCACCCTCCCAGCGCCCCGGCCGGTCCCGCTTTGTTCGAAGAGGGTGTTGSTGTTAATTGCCTTTTTCCCCAGCTGCCCACTGGCACGGACTTTGCTCCTCCGGGCTGGGATTTCTAAGCAGCAGGAGGCTTTCCACGTGTGTTTGAGAAGGTACAAAGCCTGMCGGAAAACAATGGAAATAGCTGCCTTATGACTGCTGCGTGTCACGCACTCGGTTCTTGCCGTTCGTTTGTCCTTGGAGCTGCTCGCGCCGCCTGGAACCTGATCCCGAGCGGTGTCGGGCGCTGGGGCTGGCACGAACACGGCACCGTGCCCTGGGGACAGCCACGGCCTGGCCGGWGCTGGAGGCCTCGGGCAGGGGCTCACGGACCCCTCGGTCCACCGCAGCCACCGCGGATGTGTGAGCGGGCTGTGGGTTCCGTGAGCAGTGGGGGTTTGTGGGGGCTTCCTGCTGGGAGGAAACAGCTGCTGCAGAGCTGAGCGTGGTGGGAGCAGCTTCTCCCGTGCTCTGCTTCCCGCAGCATCCAGCGTGGGAGCATCCCGGCTGGATCAGCATGGCCCTGCCTCATTCTCCACACCTCCAGGACAGGATCTCCCCAGATCCCCCCCGGACAGGCTCCCTTTGTCCAAGCTCCCCTCAGACCCCAAGGGCAGGATCTCCTGTATTTCCCCCACYATAGTCTCCCATCAGCTCTCCAGGACTGGATCTTCTCATTCCCAGGTTCCCCTTTGTCCGAGCTCCCTTCAGCTCCCCAGCACAGGATCGCCTCTATTTCCCTCAGGAGCGGATCCCCTCAGAACCCTCTGGGACAAGCCAAAACATGGGATCCCCAGGAGTGGATCCTCTCAGAACCCTCTGGGACAAACCAAAACATGGGATCCCCCAGGAGTGGATCTCCTCAGAACCCTCTAGGGCAAGCTCCCCTCAGCCGCCCCCAAACATGGGATCCCCAGGAGTGGATCTCCTCAGAACCCTCTGGGACAAGCTCCCCCCGGTCCCCTCTCCCCAAACATGGGATCCCCAGGAATGGATCTCCTCAGAACCTCTGGAGTAAGCTCCCCTCAGCCGCTCCCCAAACACGGAATCCCCCAGGAGTGGATCTCCTCAGAACCCTCTGGGACAAGCTCCCCCCGGTCCCCTCTCCCCAAACACGGGATCCCCAGGAGTGGATCCCTTCAGATCTCTCCAGCCAAGGCCCCCCCTCAGCGGGCACAGGCGGGGGCCGGGATGCAGCAGCCTCGGTTCCCCCGTCCCTGCCTGCCCGCTGCGTGCTGCCGCCCGCCTTCCCCCCGCCCTGCCCGCGCTCCCCCCGCTCGCCGCCCGCGGTGATCCGCGCTGAGCTCACGGCCGCGCCTCACGACACCCTGGCCCGGCACGTCAGCCCCGCCATCGCGTGAGAGCCGCCGCCCCCCCGCCCGCCGCCATCACGCACGGCGGGAACAGCTGCCGGCACGGCGCGGCCAGAGCCCGCTGCCAGACCCCGCTCCCAGCCAAGGCGGGCCCTCGCCAGCTCCTATTAATGCAGATCTTAATTAATGACCCCCGCGGGGGGCGAGCCGCCCTTCACACGCAACACGGCCCCCCCTTCACCCGCGCCCGCCGTGGAACACGAAGAGGTTAAAACAGAGGCGGGGGGGAGCGGGGCGTGAGGCGGCTRCCAAGGCGGGATTAGCGCGGCTCGGAGCTCGGCACGCAACGCGGGACGGGGCACGGCGGCCACACGCGAGGGACCCGCGGTGACACGCGTGGCAGCGCCGTGCAAAGCCGGGGAGGCGATGGAGGGCACCGGGCGCCCGAACGGGCGCACGGTGCCCTCCATCGACCTTCCCGGCTTTGCCTCTCTGTTGAGACAGCACCTACGCACCCAATTTCCATTTTTTAGCCCCCGTAAAACAAACTATTTTCTATAATCCAACCYCCTATTAATGCAATTTGCTTATTTCCCTCCAAGAATATTTTCCTGTCCCCCCTCAAACTCACTATCTTCAATTCAACTCCCTACTAGATGCAATTTTCTCCTTTTTTCCCAGTAAACTTCACTTTTCAATCCCCCTACTCAAGCAATTTTTCCTTTTTCACGTAAGTCACTATTTTCTTCAATCCAGCCTCTCTACTCCTGCAATTTTCTTTCATTTTCCCCTAAAATTCACTATTTTCTTCAGCCCGTTACCGATGCAATTTTCTTTTTTTTTCCAATAAAGCTTTCTTTTCTATACCCTAAAATTCACTGCTTTCTTCAATCCAATTCCCCTTTTCCCCTCCKTCTTCCGCTCCCAACCTTACTGAATGTTTTGCCCCAGAGACGAATTGTGCACAATTTAAATTAAGGTCACTTTGTTTTTTGCCATGACCTGTTCCCAATTGTATGTGTGTGTCCCTAAATTATGGTTTTGGGGAGGTGCATCATTTTGTATAAGGCTGTCRGGAATTGTTTTGGGGATATAGGAATTGATTTGGACAGATGGTCCCTGCCATGCGACAGAGCAGAGTCCCAGCAGCGACGCGGTTTTGGAGGAAACAGAACCAACGCTGGAAAGAAGGGCAGAATGTGGAATTAATCCCGCTGGAACTCCCAAATCCCGCTCCCATCCGTCCCTGATTTATTTATTTTCGTGGCTGTGTGTGCGCTCCAGTGGCTCTCACCGGGAGCTGGCGGCGTGCGGACGGTTCATCCCGAGGTTGAGCTCGTGCCTCGGGTGTGACACGCACATGACCCGGGTGACAGGGCCRCATTTGGGGTGGCAGGGACTAATTGGGGGTGTCAGGGATGCCTTTGGGTTGTCAGAGCCGAATTTGGGCTGGTAGGGCTGAATTATGGGTGTCAGATTCGGGTTTGAGGTGCCAGGAGGGGTGTCAGGGTTAAATTTGGACTGTCGGGGCTGTCTTGGGGCGCAGGGGTGGTTTTGAGATGTCAGTGTCGAATTTGGGGTATCAGGGATGGTTTTGGAATGTCAGGGCCACATTCGGGACATGACGGGTGGCTTTGGGGGTGCAGAGCCAAATCTGGAGTGGCACGGGTGAGTTTGGGCTGCTGGGGCCATCTTTGGGGTGTCAGGGCCGAATTAGAGATGTCAGGGTTTGGCTTTGGGGTGCCGAGGCCGGATTTGGAATGTCGGGGCTGGCGTTGCGGTGTCAGGAGTGGCTTTGGGAAGGCAGGGGGTTTTGGCATTGCAGGGCTGACTCTGGGGTGTTATGGGTGGTGTTTTGGGTGAATTAATCCCGGATCCCCGCAGCCAGGCCGGGTCCCGCTCCCCCCTCCCCTCAGCTCAGCCCCGCTGCGCACGCGCCGTTGCCGCGGTTACGGCGGACGCCACAGACACAAAATGGCGGCGGCCGCCGGGCCCCCCGCGCCCCTCGCGGGTCCGCCCTCCCGGGACCCCGGCGGGCCTTGACCCCCGAACCCCGGCCGGCCCTGACCCCCGAACCCCGGCGGGCCCTGACCCCCGAGCCCCGGCCGGCCCTGACCCCCGAACCCCGGCGGGCCCTGACCCCCCGAACCCCGGCCGGCCCTGACCCCCGAACCCCGGCGGGCCGTGATCCCCCGAACCCCGGCCGGCCCTGACCCCCCGAACCCCGGCCGCTCCCGGAGCCCTCCGCGGAGCCTTCCGGGGGCCATGGAGCGGCACGGCCCTGTCCACGCGCTGCCCGAAGGAATCCGCAAGGTATGAGCTGTGGGGATACCAAACCGCAGCATTCAGAGAGCAGTTCAGGGATGTTGCACAGGCCTGTGAGCACCGATACATTATCTGTACATTTTGGACCTGGGTTAGGTTGGGTGTTGGGTTTCCTCTTTTTGCAGTGAAATTACAATTATTCTATAGGAACCCTGCAGAAGAACACCCGAGTCTGTGCCGGTGTTGTCACTGCAGGTGAGTCCCAGGGAACACCTCGCCCTGTGCCGGTGTTGTCAC